ATGAGAACTAGTCCAGACAACCAGAAAACTTAATGCCATGCCCAAAGCAAATACTGCAAACTAATGGGACCTAAGTAGTATGCTACTATCGCCAAATTTGGTGCAGAAGTCGAATCGCGTGACTGGCTGGGCCCAACAACTGTACAGTGTGATGTTTGATGTTTGTAGTGTAGGTGATGTGCTCTGCTGCCCCAACCCAGACCCACCGAACCCAACCTGCGATTGTTGTAGTGATGGTGGCATGTTGTCTGTGTGTGTGTGTTGTCTTATTTAAGAAAAATCTACAGCTTCTCCATTGAGGCTGCCTAGTGTTGCCAGGCAACCAACCTGGCCTCAACCAGTGCACACATACAATGTAGAGACGAACACAGATTGAACACATACACACACGCACACACTCACAAACACTCAGGTGGATTGAGAACAATGGGTTTGAATTGCAGCACATTGCATCAGGGGAGGGGCAATGAGAGATGTCTTCCAAAGGTTCTCCGGGTCCAACCAATTTATCGATTTCACGCACACGCCCAAGTTTGGGTGCGTGCTGAAGTGGATCTGCCTAAGTCGCCCCTCGGGTTTACTCCTACCGTCAGTACTTTGTGCAGTAAGAATGTGTTATGCGCCTCCTCCTGAAGTCCACAGTTTATTGAATTTTTTTTTTTTTTTGCGTGTTGAAAAGTGGAAAGGATTAATAATGCATGACAGCTGAGCACCAGCAAGGAGAAGAGATTGTGTGAGTGTGTGAGTGTTTATGCTAGAGGCTGCTCTGAGTCACAGAGCTTTAGTTTGGTTTTGATGTTGTGTGTCTGTGGATGTGTGTTTGTGTGTGTGTGCTTTTGTGTCCTTATGTATGTGTGTACCTGTGTTTGATGAGAAGACTGATAGAAGAAACCTGAGGCTCAGAGCGGTGCCCGATTGGCTCTAAGGAATCAGCTGACCCAGACACTTCCACAAGCCCTGTGAACATCTATCTCTCATTCGCTCCCATCCTCCCTCCCTATCTGTTTCTTCCTTGCTATCTTCCTCACCCTCTCCATATCTTTCACATCTTTTTCTTCCTCTTGCCTTTCTTCCACTCGCTATCCATCTTCTGGAGATACTTTCTCCCTCCTCCCTCGCTCACTTTTCTCTTTTCCTTTCTACTCACTCTCTTTTGCTCTCTCTCCCTCCATATCTTTCCATATTTACCCGTCACTCCCCCCTCCTCTTCTCTCCTCCCTCCCTCCCTCCCTCCCTCTCTGTGGTTGAGCTTCAGTGATAGGCTGTTAATGCAGGCGGTGTATGAGTCTATCTCACCATCTGCAGTAGTGGAGCTAGCTTCTCTCCTCTCTCGTCAGGATCTATTCATCAGCCTGCCAACTTCAGCCTGATTTGGTGTACGCTTGAGTGTCTGTGTAGATGTGTCTCAATCGAAATAGACCAATGGAGCACGTTTGGCTATTGTAGAGCTTGTGTATGTACATGTGTGTTTGATTTCCAGTTGTGAAAGTAGCAGACAAGCTGTTGAATCTTCTGCAAGAGTGTGAGGACAAAGTGCAGCTACTATGTGTGAACTAGGCAGTCAGGGAGGCATGGACGGTCGTTGGCACTGTTCGGCTGCTCAGGTAGAGATTTTGCTCTTTCAGCATGCAGATATCCGTCTCTTCATGCTCTCTCACTTCCTTTCTCTTCACTCCTGTATCTATTTTTTCCCCTCTTATCCTTGTGCATCTGTGTCCATCATTGTGTCAGCATGTTCTATTGATAGACTATGGAAAGATGGGGACAAAGAGGGAGGGACCGAGGGAGGGTGATATGGAGGGGCGGAGGTTTCTTTGGCATACATCTCTTTAGTACATCTTCTATAAACTTCTGTGGTTCGTTGATGTGATTCAACTTGGCATGTCTCTAGTTTTCCTCGTGTTCATTGTCTCCCGTGTGATAGGTGGATCAATAGTCCAATTGACACCTTCCTGGATGAATGGGGTGGTCAGCTGACGGGGAGATGTCACAGATCAGAGGAGGGGCCTTGGTAAATTTACTTTTGTTTTAGCTGAAATCACGATTCAAAACCGGTGCCCACGGAGGGCACATAGGTGTCTTTGGTTCAATACTCAAGCATGGTGGCTCGACATTGATCGGTGACAGTCAGGGGTGATGTGTTTCCTACTGGCTGATTGGTTCTTGTGCTATTTAGATCCTGGCAAAGGCACCGAGGTTTATTGACTGGCTGGATTCCAGAGGCTAAGCTCACCCTAGCAGCATTTGACAGCCCAGTGGGCAGAACTGATTGGAAAGGCAGTGGAGGAAAGAGACAGAGTCAAGCATCAATAACCTAATATATGTTTCAGGCCAAACTAAACCACAGTAGACTTGTCAGGACCAAGACCACACCATACAAGGCTAGTGCGGGCTTTTTTAGATGAATAAACTGAGTGGTTGCTTCTCTAACCTTATGTAATCTGTGTTCTTACAAAGACGGGAAGGCAAGGAAATCTAAAAACCAAGGACAGAGAGAAAAAGCCAAATAAATTTCTTTTTGAAGTACTGCCTGTAGATTTCAGCTAAGACATCATCGACCACTTAGTACTTTGATTTGGTTCAGATTGTGTTCTGGTCTGATTGTAATCTGCCTCTAGAGTTCTTCTCTTTTATAGCTCTGCTGCTCTCTCCTTTATTCTGTGGGTTACTAACATCTACTGCAATGCATCACAATCCAATTTTAATTTAGTGCTGGCACTGAGCGCCCAGTGTGGTTAAAACACACACACACACATTCATATTTCTCATGGCGGAGCGTCAAGGCGGGCGATGTTTAACAGTAGTTCATGAATATGCAGAGCACATTAGCACAGTGTTAAGTAAAGACCGCAGCACTTTGAAGTCCTCATCTTCCTCCTATCCTGTCGTCTTTTCTCCCTCTTTCTCCTCAATTGCCTTCTCCTAAAATTAATTTTATCCATCCATCTTTTACTCCTTTCCTTCCCTCTTCACCCCCCTTCTCCTCACACTCTGGCTGGAATGGCAAATCAATGCACAGGTCCCCACTGAGGGTGCACACTCCTTTTTTATACCCCATCATTTTTAACAGCCTGAACTTAGAGTTGCCATGGCAACAGGAGGAGCAGGGATGGAGAGGAAAAGGGGCTCCTTTTCCTTAGAGAGGGAGCGAGTCACGGTGAAAGAGTGGTTGTTGAGATATTAGTTGGATGATGTAGGTTACAGGTTGAATGTAAGTGGGTTATTGACATGGTGCTTATGGAGAGGTGTTAAATAAAGGAGATTTAAATCAAACATAAAGTGTTAAACTGGAATATTTAACGACTCCTCTCTTGTGCTTCACACTGCGCATTCTCCAACACATATGAGCACTAGCCAATATCAGAGAGAGAGAGAGAGAGAGAGGGACAAACAGGAGGTGTGGAAGATAGAGAGGCCAGAGGAGAAAAAAGAGGGGGAGGGTCAAGATAGTAGGAGATGATAACAGGCTGTCCCCTTGTGGATTTAAACAGGAATCAATGTTTCTCTCCTCCCTCATCCTTTCTTTTTCTCTCCTTGGTACTCTAGTTTTGGCCACCTGCCATTGCTGGGGGCCGTAAAAGGCAAAAGTGTTTGTGGCAAACTGCAGAGCGGGTGGGCGATGGATTGGTGCTGTGTGCTCACACATGTAAAATAAACAGAAGGGGTGTGGAGCGCAGGCACTTTCTTCTTGAGAGGTAATGAGTTTGTGTCTGTATATGTGTGTTAATGTTTTTTTTCTGGATCCTCTCTCCATAGTCGGCAGACGACCTGCTGGTGGCGTCGGCCGAGTGTCCCAGCGATGATGAAGACATTGACCCCTGTGACCCCAGTTCAGGTGAGACCGGCACCATACAAATAAAGACATCACACCGCCTTTTTGACTATTTCTTTTTCCTCAACACTCAGTTTTTTTCTTACCACTTTGTCGCTCACTACAATGAATTTTTCATTTCCACTTCCACTCAGCCTCCAGGCATTACCTAACACTCTCCATCCACTCCCCGATCCCGTCTCCATCCCTTACTTTGCTTTCACGCCCTCCCCTCCCCTTTGCTTATGCCTTATTATTCATTCTTTCTTTCTTTATCCGGTTCTTTTCCTTTTTCCCTCCGTCATCTCATCTCCAGAAGTCACAGGCAAATGTTTTTACCAACAATATTTTAATACAGTGTCATATATCACCATCCTGCAGCCCTTGCTGTCTGTGTATGTCATAAAGTGTCAGATATATGTAATAAAAATTGATATAATGTGCACCTGTACTCTGGCCCTCCTCTCAACACGGTGTAATATAATCTGTTTACACATTATGTGATAATATGGAAACAGCTTTGGCTCTAAGCTACAGCCTTCCCTTGCCAGCTTGTAGAATTATGCAAAATGCGTGTCAAATAATTCATCATGATGATGCATTGTATCTTCTTGCTCCAGCTCTCCAGCTCTCCACCCATCACCCTGACATGTAATACAAATTAATAATGTATGCAAAAAACTGTAATGTAACATAGCATGCCTCCCGTCTACCTCTACAGCCCGCCCTCCCCTGCCAGAGGTAAAGGTGTTCCCAGGTCCATCTGAGGTGGTGCGGGAGAGCAGCAGCACCACGGGCATGGTGGTAGGCATCGTGGCGGCCGCAGCCCTCTGCATTCTCATCCTCCTTTACGCCATGTACAAGTACCGCAACCGCGACGAGGGTTCCTACCACGTGGACGAGAGCCGCAACTACATCAGCAACTCGGCCACGCAGCCCAACGGCAGCACCAAGGACAAGCCGCTGGGCATCGCCAAGATCTCCAAGAACAAGAAGAACAAAGACAAGGAGTACTACGTCTGAGGCGGAAGACACACAGACATATACGCATACACCTTTATATATAATGGTATATGTACATAAATAGATATATTCTAAAAAAAAAATACACACATACACACTGACATAGACATGCTGATGTTAATGTTTACTCTCCAATAATCACACCCGCACACATGCTGGCGAGCACAAACATACACACATTAAAGCACACACACACAGACATTTAAGCACAAACATACACACACACGCACACATACAGACTGGCCCAAGGGCATGGACCCTGATTGTACAGTATTTACCAATGAGCAGAGTCTCGTGAGAGGCTCGTTTTATGAACATAAACACCATTCCAAATGATTTAAAGAAGCACCAGTTCAACTCCCAGTTAAGAACCATTTTGGGGGTCAGCCAGATAAAAAGACCAGTCACTCCCCTGCCACAGTAGGACCTCTCCAGTTGGACTCGAGAGAGGTCGAGGAAGACTTTAAGTGAAGCACATGGCAGACTGAGTGTATTGAGCGAGAGGGCAGAGCACCAGAACAATGATGATTTTCAAGTACCAAGAAAAGCACTAAGTGTCTCTTCCAAGCTTCCTGGCCTTCCTCTCTGTTAACAGACGGGACTCAATGAAGCACTGAGGACGCCGAAGAAACAAGCACACCAATGGTCCAAGTCTAACCCCAAGCAACAGGACAGGAAATCAGGGTGTAGCCATAGAGACAGTGAATAACGAGTGAATAGGCAGAGGCAGGGCTGGTGCCGTTAATGTTATGGATGGGCAGTGGTTGTTCCGCTGCAGAGCTGATGTTTTACAGCACCCTGTAAATCACAAAGGTGGAATCAGCGGAAAACTGAGAGATATTTTCCTGGACAGGATACTTGAGACTTCAGATGCTACCTACAGACACCAGTCTTGCACGACTACGGTGTCACACACACACACACACATGCACACACCCCAAAATATAAACAATCTACACATGCAGACATACACATACCTGCAATGCTAAAGACCCACCATATCTTCATAAGACTGAAGACTATACAAGAAGACAATGGTGAAAATGGCAAAGACCATTATGATAATCGTTATGGCAATGATGAATATGAAGAACATTTGGGCAGTATAGACTCTTTGGGGAAGGGAGGGGGGGTCTTATTGCACGTGAATTATCTTACTCCGTGTGATTTATACCGCGTTGAAACTCCAGAGGTTACACCGTGACGCTCCACCATCATAAACTTACCACCTTGGCTTGAAGTATTCCTAATTACGCACTTCAAATGGTTTTCAGTCTGTGGGATTCGACAATGATTTAATCTCTGAGTTCAAATCCTCATTGACAAAGTGTGACCATCTCGAGTGTGATGCATGCCTGAGTCTGAGCTGTGCTGTGAAGTGGTGGCGTGTCCCACGAAGTCCAGAGGTGGTAGGTTTGCTTGTTTGTCGGGGGGAGGAGGAGAAGGAGGAGGAGGAAGAGCAAGGTGTTGCGGGTTGCAATGTAACTCTGGTGCAACGCCTGGATGTGTGCGCCCACCACAGGCCACGTCCTGTTTTCTAGCCTGATGTCTTATAGGCCACACCCACTATACCTGCTCTAACCAACCACCTTTTATAGACAAAAACCAGCCGAGGAAAAGAATCAAAAACAGAACAAAGTAAATGTTACCATGTGTTGCTAATAGATAGAAAAGTCCAGTTCATGATGCCATTGGCTGTATGACAGCTTGAGTTGCTTTGATTTCATTGGCTCTCCCTTTTCTCTCTTTCTCTTTGCGTCCTTTTGTCTTCATTGCATTGGTTGACTGATTCATCAATACTCATGGCGTGACCGATACAGGACAGGCAGACGGGTTTCCGATGGGCTACAGTATAATTATCTCATTATGGACTTCTGCATTGTCTGAGCCCTCTACAGCTGAAGAACTGTAGCTCCGTGATATATCAATACAAACAGTGCCATGACATGAACAAGCCCCTCTAGTTCTTCCAAGCAACGTAACCAACCAGTCAGATGCATGCAAAATGACCAGGGCAAGAAAGGACTTGAAAAAGGACTGTGTGAGATTTCAAAGTATAATGTCAAAATTAACTTAACATATTCCCTTATTCTCTCCATCCTTAACTGGCCTTTCTGACCTCCTTTCCCTCCCTTCTCTTGTTTTCCTCTTGTTTAATATGTTTCCCTATCTGCCCTCCCGGGTTCCTCCGTGTCTATCGCTTTCTTTTCCCTCTATCTGTTGTGTTGCCATCTGAAACAAAGGAGGTGTCTCAACCAATGGGATTCTACATCTAGGTGTTCATTAACCATGTTTATTTTCTATATGTACAATTTTTCTACAGTATTTACTTTTATTTTTATTGTTACGGTTCTTTGATGAACATAAAGTGGAAATTTATTATGAAAAATAGTTTTGAAGATTAACGAGTAAATAAAATATTACCCAAGTGAGCCTGGAGTGTGTTTGTGTGTTGGTTTTTGCTGCCCATCTGCCTGCAGACAACAGTACTGTGTGTGTCTCACATCGCCCACAACCATGAGGGCAGATCAGTGTCTAATTAAGACATTAGCTAATAGCTCAGTATTCTGGGAAATACACTTATTTACTTTCTGGCGGAGTTAAATGAGATCGATTCTCACACTGGAGCCAGTGGCGCCTTAGCTTAGCTTAGCTTAACATAAAGAGTGGAAATGGGGAAACAGCATGGTTCTGTCCTCCTTCCAGGCAGCACCTAGATTCACAAATTAACACGTTACATCCTGTTTGTTTCATCCGTACAAAAACAAGTTGAAAAATGACAATTTGTCGTGTTACGGTGGGATTTTGCTCTCAGTTGTTTTCTCGCCAGGAAGCAGTAACTTCCTGGAGACTTCTCTGGTTGCCTGGCAACTGCTCAGAGCCGAGGTTTAGTCCAGAATATACGCTGCTATGTTTACCGTGTTCAGTCCATATTTACACAGATTTTCACATGTTCGTGTACATGGTTTCCCATGTTGTAACCACAAGCTCAAATATCCCATTTAAAGGCAACAGAACCCCTCGTAAAATGGCAAATTGTTTTTATCCTTATTTTAATACACTTACTAGTAATTAAACAAACACAATATTAACATGTTAAATAGTGATGACTAGAGCTGCAACAGTCGTTGAATCAATTAGTCAAACAACAAAAATAGTTGTGTTTTATTGGTTTTCTTTTTTTTCTATGATAGTAAACTGAATAAGTAGCTTTACTAACTACCTGCTCTCATTCAGCATTTCTTTCACATCTTTCTGAACACAAATCAGCATCCAAATCAGCAGTTTACTATTAGAAACTGAAACCAATGTGATTTTAACAAAGTTAAAGGCACAATGCGTAGGAGTTGTGCCCTCCTCTCCAGCTCAATCACACCAGAAAATCAGGTGCTTCCTCTTGGACGTGTGCTTATGACCTGGCATCTTACACACTTACTTACACACCCACTGCCTAAAGGTTGATGCCCTAAAACACAACGAAATAAGAAAATACAGGCAGAGGGGAGAGTCTCTGTAGATACAGACACCACCACACACTTTTTTGACATGAACTAGTCGGGTAAACACAGGTGTTTGATGTATGAGTCTATACATTGTTTTTCATTCAGCCTTTAAACAACTTGGTTTCGTCCATATCCATAAAACTCATAAAACCACCATGTTGTAATCTCTGCTGTCTAAAACGTTTTACGCCATTTTCTCCTCTCTGTCCCGCTGTTATTGGAGACATTTCTGAACTAACCACGAGCCCTCGACAGCAAAGGCTGCTCATCTAAACATGAAGTGAATCACACGATACACAGTCGATAAAGGCTCTGTTCCAGGATTTATTGTTAGTAGCGCTGTTACAAATGTCGGTGGGATTTTGAATGCGGTTTTGAATATTTACTGACATTTTATAGACATAATGATGATTTGTGTCCCAATTCTGAGCATGTCATTGGAAATATATGATCTTTTGTGGAAAACATTCTTATAAAAACTAGTTTAAGTAGAGCAATCTGTTGCAAGTTTGCTATTATGTGCACAATTAAAGAATAAAAACAACAACACAACAGTCGTTAGTTGCACCCCTACTTTGGCAAGAGCCAGGCTAACTGTTCCCCCCTGTTTTCAGGTCTTTATTGCTAAGGCTAAAGCTAACCAACTGCACAGGCTTATTTAACAAAAACGAGTTTCCGAATGTATTCCTTTAACGATCTCCTTCTAACAAACTACATGTTGCCAATTCCCCCACATTCCTCCTATTCTCTTTCACCTCTTGCTTCATCAGAATATGGAAAGCAGCACTTTTTCTTCCAAATCCCGCTCTAACTGGGACAGTACACACATAAATACCCACGCTCGCACACACCGAACAGGGCTTTGAAGTATGACTCAGTGCAGTGAACGGTGTAAGTCTCTGCAGAGTTGCTGTTTGCCGGATGAAAGATCCCTGAGACTGCAGAGCGGAGCTTGCGTCCTCAGGTGAGAGGAGCTACAAGGACCTGCTATTTCAATAAACACCTCCCAGGACTAACTTGTCTTGTTCTCTCACTGTTTGTCTTTCTTATACTGTTTTTTTTTTTTTTTTGGCTTTTGCTGAAGAGTCTGAACAAAAGGCTTGCGTTAGGCTGTAGCCATCTGCCGCCGTGTTGTCCTTGACCACAGCCAGCTAGCACAGAGATAAAGACACAGCCCCGCTATATTTATTGGCTAAATAAAAATCTCTCAAAAAACATCTCCAGACAAACTCACCAGTGGCCAATCAGTTTACCTCGTGTTAACAGTGGGGTAAGTTTGGCCTGGGGGGGAGGAGAAAAGGCTATGTTACCTAAATCTAAAGAATGTATCCTCTGTACAGTGGCCACATTGTCAGGCTTGGCTATGGCTACACACAATTTCACTGGTCAGAAATCAAAAAGAGAGGAGAGAATGACGCAGTCTGGACCTACAGCTTGAATGTGGCTTATTAATCTCTATATAACTGTATTTTTTTACTACGTTCATAAATTGTTTAATCCATCATAGTATATATATTTATGTGTCTACAACTTGTTCTAATTACATATACATTTACTATATTCCTCCACAATACAATATTCTATTATATTTTATTTTGTATTTTATTCCTATATTGCTGCTGCGGCACTATTTCATGTCTAAGGCTACGTTCCCCAAGTGGCCCAAATCTGATTTTGGTTTTTTTTTGCTCATATGTGACTCAGATCACATTGAATCTAAATTTGTAAAATTCTGATCTGGGCCACTTTCATGTTCAGTCCGAATCGGATACGGGTCTGATTTATTTGCAATGTGGCCTTAGTGTGAATGTGACTTTTACATCACTTTAGATTCACGTTCATCATGCGTCATACGTGACCTGTTCACACCAGAAACAAATATGAGCCACATTTAAAAAAGAAAAAGTGAACAGAAAATCAACAAAGGTGAACGTAGCTTTAGATTCAAGAGAACACAGGTGAATCTAACAACATTAACAATGGTTGTAGTCCATGAAAGTGTCCCTCTAAACCATCTCTTCCCATCTAAATAGAGTAAATCCATCTATAGTGATATGATATTATTTACACCTGTGTTTGAGTCATTGTCCATTGACTCATTTTATGAATTTGTTGTCTAGTTGCATTCTACAGAGTTAAAAACTACTCAGTGTTTACACCTCCCTGGCACAGGTGCAGAACAATCAGCCACAGATTAATCCACAAATTCATATCATGCATCAGCACACACACACAGATGCCATGGATGTTCCTCTTCCTCAGTCCTTGGTTTCCACTCCTTTGTGCACCTGCGTTTGTCAGAAGCCGGTCTTTCTCTCTCTCTCCTTCTGCTTCTTTCTTGTGTATAAGCATTACTGTGGGAGAGTGTGTGTGTGTGTGTAAGAGAGAGAGAAAGTTTGTGTGTGGTCATGTCAGGAGATCAAGGCTGCGTTTTTCATCCTGTTTTGGAAGAAATTATAAAGAGTTCTGTTCCTCTACATGAAGTTCCCACAGTACAAAACACACACAACTCTGTATCAATACTAGAGACAACAATGCATGTGGAGAGGAGAAGCTGAAGATGCATAAAGGAGGAAAATGACAAAAAAAAATACTGTTGCATAAGTGTGTGTGTGTGTCTGTGTGTGTGTGTGAATGCAGAAAGAGTGCCCTTGCAAGCTGGCTGTCCTGCTGATGTGTGTGTGTAGTGGAGTAGAAAGGAATATTATGTTCATCGTTATCAAACTGTGCTCATCTTTCAACACAAAATATGAGACAGGAGACAAAGCAGATTCACGTCTGTTCCCTATAATTCTTTGTTTGTTGACATGACTTTGAAGCTAAAAACAAGACAAACAACCAGAAATAAGTAACTCCCAACTGTCTGTGTTATTTACTCCAAAACTGTGTAACAATGCAGACTTACTTGTCATTAAAACAGAAAAGGCTACACAATAAGCTATGAAAAAGATTTCTAATTGAAAAACTGACTAAATGTAGAAAAAGATTACCAAGACATTAATATTGTTAGTTAAATAATTAAAATGGATCCTGAAAATAAAGCTTTATTCTTTTGCTTTGCTACCAAAGCCAAGAAAAAGCAAATTTCATTTTTCAACTCCTTCATTTTTTCCCATTTTTTGTGAAGCCAGTTAACTGAAAACACTCGCAGCTAAACGGAGTTCCATCTGCCCTTTTTTTTAAAACCCCAAAAGTTTGAAAAGTTTCTTATTGGACCATTTGTCCCCAAAATCCATTGCTCCAAAAATACCAACCCAGTATCACACCAAAGCGTGTAATACACACTCCAGTCCACTGTTACCTTTCACACCTATATGGGGCAAAATGTGATATTCACGCGGTGTAACTGTAAGGTGAAAGCATGTTTTTGGAGAAATGGGCGATAACAAGCTGTAGGACAAATGGATACTATAATGGGCCCTTGGAACAATGGCATGGCACCAGCTAAACACATGCCTTGTCAGCTAGCTGCATCACTGAAGCTAACTTTGCCCATTTACTGCAGTACATACGGCACCAGCTATATATAATATTGTTGGAGTAACTGAAGTATTTGAGCCGGCAAGTGAATGCAAACAAAGTTAGCTAGCTAGAGCCACTTGGTAGTTTTGGATTTTAATGTCTCATCCTTAATATTTTGTAAATGCAATGTCATTTAAAGGTGTGTAACATTTAGGAAGATTTATTGGTACAAATAATATCATATTCATAGCTATGTTTTCATTATTATAATCACCTGAACATAAGAATTGTTGTGTGTTTGTTACCTTTGAATGACCTTCGAAAAAAGTGATTTCACATATATAATATATTTTAAGTATAAACATTTTATTAGTGTTTTCCTTGTAAGACTCGATAATATAAGATAAGAGATAAGAGAAACAAGGTTGTGAAGGATTGTTACAGTGCATGAATAACAGAGTCATATTCAAATTTCATAAGCATTTTATCCAATACTATGCTATTTTCAGTGACTTGTGATTACTTGCTTGTGTGATTTGACTTAAGGGTCAAAGTGAAAGAAAAAAAAATACAGACACAGATTTTTGGACACACACACACACACACACACACACACATAAACACACACACAACCCAGCAGAGACCTCCTACATCCTCATACACCCATTAAGCTTTTCACACACCCCCATCATTCACCACTGCATGGCAGAAAAAGCACCAGATCACCTCACACTTCTTCCCTCTTCAACCTGGCGGTGAACCCAGAGTTGTGAGATGAAAAAAAAACCCATGCATAATATCAAATGTGGAGTGTGGGCTCTGTGAGAAGGCCTGAACACACGTGAACACGGAGAGCAACAACAGTGAGAAAGTGTGAGGAGAAGCAGAAGAAGAAGAAGAGAAACAGGGACATTTTAAAAGTGGGAACCTGAAATACAACAACCTGGACTGTGGACAGACTGCGATGATGATGGTGATGATTCTCATAATGTTAATGATTCTGATGATAAAGATGGCAACGGCCTCGGTGCCTGGCCCAGAGATGGACGTTAAACTGGGAGTGGAGACCAGCTTGGCCAAACGAACCCTGAGCTTCTGCCACCAGTTGAAGTTGGGGGTCACAGAGATTCCCTCCAGCATCTCCAGCAACACCCAATGCCTGTGAGTATCCGTGTATTATACAGTCTATGGTGAATACAGACAAACACAATTGTGGATGTTTACATTTTACTTGCTGGTTGAGCAGCTGCAGCTCTCAGAGAAATTGTTTGGGAATTCCTAGAATACTAATAGTACAAGTTGTTTTGTTGGTGTTACAGTTATAATAATCTAATTCATTCCTCTTCTGTTTGGCAACTGTACATAAAACCACAGGATAAGCTTTTATGTGAGACTACTTTTCAATTTCTATTTCTATTCTTCAGCTAAAATCTAGTTTACCTGCTGTGAATGTGATGTGTTTCTCCCTTTTTATTCTCATTCTTTGTCTTTGCTGTAGTTGTATGATTGCTGTCTTTCTTCTGTATGTATTAACTTCAATTCATTTGGGATATTAAAGGAGCACTCCAAAAATATAACAGTGTACTTCCATACAGTTGTGGGACTTTTTAAGAGACAGGTTTTTTTTTGAAGGGACAAAATTGAAGCAGCAAAATATTCAGACTTCTAGTTTCTAGTTTAGATGAAGCTCCAAACACTGGATTCTACATTTCTCATAATGCCACGCTTTGGTTGCACCCTTAATGGCTGGTAAATTCCCACGTCTCTGAAACTCCATGCCTCCATTTGTACTGCAGGCTTTCTGTTATAAATGTGTTGTGTCCAGTCCTGATGATATCATTATTTTTTCACACTTCACACTGGCTGTAGAGTCACAGAATACATTGTACAGCTGTTTTCACAGTGTAGGTAGTTCACCTTGTGGTAAGTGAACTGACTTTGTGTAAAATCGATGTAGTGTCCCTCTACACAACTAAAACAGAGGTCAAGTGACATGGGTCGATATTACAGAGTACATCCTAAAATAGTATTTCTCATTCACTATACGGATGCATGGGGTATGTCATGGATGATACAGTTCAAAAAATCCTATCTCGTAATCTTTAAACCTCTCATTTACATTACAGTTTATATTCAAGGTTTCTCACAAAAACACTTTGTGTGTCACCTTGAAGTCTAACACATTTTATTCCTCATAAAACATTTGCAAAGATGACTTTTTTGTTTTGTTGTTTACATCCATATTTACAGTTTTCTTTGTGATTACATTTGCGCGTCGTACCAGCTGTCGACCAGCGGAAAAGCATAAATTGGTGGCAGGACTATGTATTGTGTTGTCCTCATGCTCCCACCGCTGTCCACAAACAGCAATTATGAGATAAATATAACGTTAACATAAGCAGGTTAGCGAGACGCATCCATACAGGCTTCACAAACACATCTGGAAAAAAACAGCTGGTGCGTCTGTGGAGTGGGGCATGGTCTGCAACCAGGCAATCAAATATTATCAACAGAAAAAAATGGATTTAAGCACACGTCAAGCTCTATATGAGTAAACTCTAGTTTCATTTCATTGAGTTTACTTACTTTAGGTCTACCAGCATCAAAACATCTAAAAACTACTGGAAAAATGGCGCAAGAGAGTAGCTTTTTTGGCAACACCTTACTAGCGTTTCATCTCTGCCCCAAACAGTAGCACAACACCATCTAGCTGAAGGTTGCCATCATAAGCTAACATTAGCCACCATAAACTACTGGTCATACCAGCGCAAAGTAAGACTGTGGCAGAATATTTTGAATTTATTGTATGTTGGGAAATATGATTCTCTTACTTGGCATGCTAAATATGAAACGACCAGCAGCCAACTGCTAACTTAGCACAAGACTAGAAACACGGGGTCACAGCTAGCACGCCACTGTCAAATTGTTGTTTTTACATTTTAATTTTACAACATGTTATACAACACGTTAATTAGAGAGCGTTAGAAATTCTGGTAGGCTACATTTTCTAACCTTCGGACGAACCGGGCTAGCTGTTTCCCCTTTGTTTCCAGTCTTTATGCTAAGCTAAATTAGCCCACTCCTGGCTGTAGCTTCATACTTAGCGTACAAACATGTGGGTGGTATCAATCTTCTCATCTAACTCTAAGCTAAAAAACTGCTTGTTTCCCAAAATGTAAAACTTCCTGTAAGAGTCATATAATAGTTCATAAGTTGTGTTGATGGTGTTGAAGGTATTGCAAGTGGTTTTCAGTGTTTTTGACACAGTGACACAGAGCTGGATGAGGCAAGAGAGGGTGAGGGTGTAGTAAACACTGACTTGTTATTTTGGCCATTGAAACATTTTGAAGGAATCTCAAGGCCAGACAGGGGGAGGAGGTGGGATGGTGGCA